CCCCCTTTATCCGTGGTGTACTACCGGTTGTACGAGGCTCCGCAATGATCGGTCTACGGTAGTCCGAGCCTCGGACTTCATAGCTGGACAAGGTACTGGTGGTTTATAATTCACAAAAACAGGCTACCGCTGATTTCCTGCCGAATCGACGATGCCTGACCGTCATACACCTTATACACTAATCCACATACTTACATCGGTAGTGGGATCCCCCTCCTGGTGTGAGTATACCCTACCCGACGGACACAGAGAGTTGGAAGAAAGAAACTAAAGAAAAAAAAAAAAAAAGCGGAAACAAAGATTTTTTTTCCTGATGCATGGGCTGTGATTCACAAAGGACAAAATGGAGCTCTGTCATAATTGCCTAGGGCCATGGTAATCATCTCTGTATCCTTCCGATGTTTTTAGGAAAATTCATGATCAATTTGCACATACAGAGAGTACACCAACGGCCCCACTTCATTTCAAAACTCCAAGCCACTATCCACGCTGTGCAGAGAGGCATTTTCTTTCACAGGGCCTCAAAGACACTTTTCTTTTTCTTTTTTTTCCCACCCCTATGGTCTCTGCTTGCTCGTTCTCGTTTTCAAAACCAGCTACCACCTACACCTGTGTCGAGTCGCCACCAAGCCCCTACCAAGCCTTCCAAGGTCTTCCATGAATTCAGGAATTCAGGAAGGCAAAACTTCGTGTCTGGGTGGGGTTACTGGTGATTTGAACCACCAGTACTTGGCCCAGCTATCGATGCCGAGCCAGGCAACCCCCTGCGCGCCAAGTTTTCCCAAACCGACACGGCGCCGTTTAGACTTTGTTTTGGCTGGCGCTTCCAGCCATTGAGGTCTTGTACCCCGAAGCCCAGAAGTTGTGTGCCGTTAACGACAACGGCCCGCGGCCAATGTCTGGGCCAAGTACTGGTGGTTTAACTAGACTAAGGGCATAGTCACACTAGGACGTTTTTACTTATTTCACAGCAGACTTGCGGTCACAGATACATCCCAGTAGGGCCGTAATACGGTCAGGTACATTTAAGACTGTGCTAGTGTGAGTATGCTCTAACGTGCTTCCTTTACGATTGGAACCTTGGACCTCTACTGTGGACAACGACATTTTAAATGACAAATGTGCTCGTCGTCTGTGTACAGATGCATAGTTTTTTTTCTTCAAGTCAACGTCTTTCGGGCTTGATGGATATGTACTCCAGTTTTTCTTCAAGTCACCGTCTTTCAGGCTTTTTTTTTTTTTTTTTTNTTTTTTTGCAAGACGATGCTCCAAATCTATTCGTGGGGAGCAACACAGCCGGGAACCGGGCCCAGCGTCCCTCGTGAAAGTACAAAATCATGAACTACCAGGGGCATCACCCGGCTTGGACTAAAAGGCTCTATGGATGATGAAAAATTCTAAAAATTCTGACCCTAATATACCAAAAATCCACCCGACCACGAGACAATAGCTGAAAACTCATTCAATCCCATCTCTGAACACGCCAGCATAGCCTTTTACAGCAAAAAGCCGGATCTCTACCAGGCCTCGTGCCCCCATTAGGCTAGGTTACAGAGTTGCACCACCTTGCTCCAGCCCCCGGCTCGTATTGCACCAGATCCGCCCCCGATGACCACTGAAGGCCTGGGAGAGAACAGTCTTTCAGGCTTGATGGATAGGTACTTCAGTTTTTCTTTAAACCACCAGTACTTGGCCCAGCTATCGGCCGCGGAAAAAAATAGAGTAGAAACGTTTCTAGTTGGATGAATTTGGACGCTCCTGTAGTGGCCCGTACGTTTCCTAAAATCACGTAGCGTTAACGGGCATGGCTTTAGGAAGTACTGGTGGTTTAAGTTAATGTCTTTCGCGCTTGATGGACGAGTACTTCCTTAGCTTCTACTGAACACGAGGGTTACATATATTCCAGGCATCATCCTAGAATTTCAAGCGACCGACAGACCCCTCATGAGTGCAGGTAAAGGCGACCAACTGGAAGTGGTAGAGTCGCACGCCACGCCGTAAGTTTGGACGACTATCTTGCTTTTGGCTATGAGATCACATTCGGGATGACTTTTTCGCCGTCCCGTGTTTCAGTGCGATCTTCTTTTTTTCCCCTTCTTACTTCCTGTTCCTTACCTTCTGCTGCGTCTGTTTCTTACCCTCTCCGTGTGCTGTGTCGATTGTGATGCACTAACGACACTCAAAAAACTTGTTTTCAGCCCCTCCGAAAATTTACTCACTACCGTTTCGGAGAGGCTCAAAACAGGTTCGCACAGAACATGGCCCCCGCCAATTGGAGAACCCTGTTTTGAGCCTCTTCGAAAATTTAGAAGGCCGCACGCCATAGATACAACGAATCAGCGGCGTGCGGCCTCCGAAAGCGGCCCGCGGCCGATAGCTGGCATCTACTGGTGCTTCAAGGGCCTCGTCACACCACTCCCGGATCTTTGAAAATTTCAAGGAGTGCCCTCCGAGAGAAAATCCTCTTCGTAATCCCCTTCGGGAGTGCCCTTCGCCACACGGCACTCTCGAATGGGGTGCTCTCAGAATTCAAAAACGACAGTTGCTGTAAGGAACCTGTCTCACGCAATTTCCGCCTTCAGCTGGCCGAATTTGAAACTAGGACACTACTTATTTGATCCCACTACACCTGCGCGGATTAGGCAACACCATGTTTGCTCGTCTGTCTACACCTGCAGAGGAATACGCGAGACCCTGTTAGCTCTTCAGACTGGGAGTTTCGCATTCGGTAAGGAAGTATCGTCCTAATGCTTTCCTTCCACTTTACTCGTACTCGGTCACGACTCACTATCCTTTGGCGGAATTTTTGTAATACGGGTCACATTGCTTGAGAAGAGTGAAGATGGCAATATTGATGGCATCGATGGCAGGAAGGATATAATAAAAAAGCAGGATTTGTTAGCACCTGAATCTGATATGAGTCAGTGGAATCTCCAGTTTGAGATGGTTTGGTACTTCACTGGTCTGATCATTCTGGGTTTCGATAATGGTCTTCATCTCCCTCGATCCGCATGAGTGACATCTGCTGTTTTGCTTGACAAATCTCGCCGTGTGTAGTGCACTTTGATTGACAATATCTGAGGATTTCGTCACTATGAGCATATCTGTAGAATCTGAAGTGATCACTTTTTCATACAATGCAAGGACGCTTCTGCGATAAAAGAACCATTGCTGTCCCTGAAAAGGCAGCGATTTGAAGTGTAAAATTACACTGAAGGGAGTAGTGCACACACAAGATACACCCACACCCACCCACACACCAAAAAAAAAAAGAAAAAAAAAAAAAAAAGAAAAAAAAGAAAGAAAAAAAAAAGAAACACACGCACTGCACACTCAGTCTGCAAAGCAGGTTAGGCCAATACACAACACGTAGAAATAGCAAGGTAATGGTGACAGTGACATGTTCGCAACATTACCGTAGGTTTTCAACTCTCCAGAGTCTCCACCACTTACATTTCGGGGGGGAGACTGAGAAGGAAGACAACATGATTCCTCTTTTACAAATACAACACTGTTCTCAACTTCTCGTGCAAATTGCCGCATTGCTAGATACCAAGTTTGTCCTTGGAAGTAACTCTCTGTTCAGTGCTACCGATCTCAATGGCCCCAACAACAGTGATCTGCTTGTGTGTCTCGCCAAAACAGGCCCCTCGCAAACATCCATGAGCCCTGACTCTTTTCTGGACGATTACGCCAGCTGATAATACCACCCTCTTCCCCCCAACCGATGTGTCCATTGCCTGAAAATTTTCAATGAGACCTTCGATTAATCCACTTATACCAGCCTTTGCTCACTGCTCACAGTTACTCTACCCATTGTGGCTCCGAACAGCTTTCTCTTGCCCACAGTGTCAACACCTCCCATGGCGCATCCACCTGGCCTGGCTGTTGGCTGATGAGCCAAGCCAAGAGACTTGCCCAGTGCCGACCCCCCCAAACATGCACCAGAAAAACACACTCACAGATAACAGCCACGAAAAGCTAGAACATTGCCAGTGAAAAAAATGGAGACCGCATTTCCGTCGTTGAATGCACACGGCAGCTCGACCCTTTATATTACAGGACAAATACGACCCCCTTTACAAGACACACAAATGCTATCCTTTACAGGACAAATGCAACCTTTCTAGGACAAGTGCCAAGCCATAGATGGCCTGCCAGAGCTTTGCATTGTGGGGAAGCACGAAGGGAGTTCACATGAAATACAGACGCAAAGTTGCAAAATAATAGAGGTCCACGCACATGGGGATCACTGCATCATTTAGACACAACGAGCGTAACACATGATGATCCGTGTATCGTTTAGACTCTAGAGTCTTTAGACACAAAAATGTACCAAAGGTCCAGGCAGATGGGGTTCACTGTATCCTTAAGATACAGTGTGAACAAAGCTTTCACTTTCAATTTCGAAAGAGTGTGATACATCATGAGCATCCTCAGCGACACCAGGGATGTCAAAGAGGAAGTGGAAGCGGCAGAAAGTTCAGGCATATACTTCCATACAACAAGCAACACCACTACTCTGTCATGCTGCAAGCCAAACTTTTGGAATAGACCATCTTTTGCATCCGGGGAATGGCAACAAAGGGCAAGGACCAGAAAGGGTTGCAGATGTACTCCTATCAAGCGGCAAGGGAACTCCATACGTACACTTCACACAAAGCTCAGCCGTATCTCATACGAGAACGGTTATGGTTCACGAAAGCCAGTTTTGCAAGAGTTGCGCACCCAGCGGAGTATCGTCCAACAAACCACAAGGAGAGGGGGGCCAGCATGAGATACCCCACAAGACCGAGACACGGAGGAAGTCATAGCAGTTGCCTTTGTGTGTGCCTTCTCCTCCCATACTGGCACCTGCCTCATAGCTCCTGCAAATTTCCGGCAGCCGATGCCCAGCATTACTTGAGCAGAGACCGAACAATCTGCTTCACGTTCAGCTTCTTCAAGTCCGTGTACGTCTGCCCGCACCCAACGAACATTATAGGGGCGCCGGACGTATACACCATTGACAATGCTGCTCCAACCTATTACAGTACACACATTAACAATCAAGTGAGCCACAATTTAAGCACTTGATTAGCTCCTTGCAAATCAGCTATATAATACCAGAAGAAGGGACAGCGCTCAAATGAGCCGCAATTTAAGCCGTTGATCAGCTCCTAGCAAATCAGGTATGTAACGGTTACCAGAAGGGAGACAGCGCAGTTGCACGCGCGAACGTTGGAGGTCATGGTCACCAAATGAAGTCAAGAGGGAGCAGCACAGGGGGGGGGGGTAAGAATTAGAAGGATACAGAAAAGTCAGAGCAGTTTGTTGTGATACCCGGGAGTGACCGTAGACAGAAAGACAGAACAGCATATGAGCAACATCCAGGATGCATAATCATATCCAGTACATACACGCAGGGACATGTACAGTAAAATCTGCGTCATCAAGGGGAGGAGCCGGCTGAACTTAGTTCCAAAATCAGAATGTTCCTTCCTTTCACCTGTTTCAGTTCAATCTTCATCAGGAGCCGGTTGAACTTCGTTCTAAAAACAGAATTTTCCTTCCAATCTTCGTCGGCAAAGGGAAGAACCGGCCAAACTTGGTTTCGAAAACAGAACGTTCAGAAACAAAATGTTCCTTCCTTTCACTTCCCTCAAATTTATTGAATGGTGTGCAATCCGCTGCGTAATGCCTATGGCTTTAATAACCTTGCAAGCTGGATAACAACTTTGCTGTGATGTAGGTGGACGGTGCCTATATCATAGGTGGACGGTGCCTATATTCAGGGGTATGAGCTGTCTATGGACGATGTGCAAGTCCACATACTGTCTGCAACGCAACCGCTGTTGAAATGGATACGGACAATCCACTGGCTACGGTCAGGTGAATGATACGTACATACTACAAAGATGATATAAGCGCCAGCAGACGCATCCTCACAGCAGCTTTTAAACCACCAGTACCTCCGAAACTTTTTTCCCCCCAATGCAGATTTCTGCTCTGCACCCGTAGAAACTGAGCTGACGCTGGCACTTTTTTGAAGTTTTTCTCCCTTTTCTCATTCTTTTGTCTGGCGCCACCAGTCATTTCGGTCTTAGTATGCACAGCGATGAAGGATGAGGCATATTCACGGGCATGTTGCAAGAAGAAAATGGCTGGGAAAGGTATTTGTGGCTTAAGCAATTCAAAAAAAACAAGGGTACCTGTTGCGGCTTCGCTCGCAAGGAAACGAGGGGAAAACGGGAGAAATGAGTCGGGGTGGGGGGATCGG